TCAACCAGCTTCTAACCTTAGCTTGTTCAATTAAGCTTTGGCAATAAAACCTGGAAGATGATGGGTTTCTATGCAGGAGTCTGATTTTGCACTCTCCAGATTTAGTAAATACAACCCATAGTTAAAGGATATATCATCTACTGTACAGTGGTCTTGTTGACATTAATGCTGAATTATAAAAAAGAAACAATGTGGATTTACTTGCTGGGTATCCATGACCTCAACCAGCCTTAAAAAAGACATTCATTTTCAAATAAACAGTATTTACAAAATCACCTGTAATCTCTGCCATTTTGTATATATATTGCATAATGTGTAGGAAAAAATGATAGCACCACTTTTTAGTTTACACATTATTTATGGTCTGATTAGCCATAGGATGTTATATTTTTAGAGCAAGTGTTATACAGTATGTCAGTGAATTGAATTGCTTGCATGCCTCAAAAGTACAATTTCTGGGTTTTCACTGTTTAAATGTTTGCTTTATTGTGGTAGCGCTCTTTTTCTGTCCTGGGGAATCTATGTGCAATTTTTTTGTTTTCACCCACAATGCAATGTATGGCCTTTGAACCATGGCCAACACGCATAGAAGAGAAAATCATTTTGGAAAACCAGCCCTCTCACTATAAAAGAGTAGACTCACAGCTGCCATGTGTCGGTGTATTATGAAGGAGCTGTAGTGAAAGGATAGGGAAAGCTGTGCTGTAATTCTGATTGCCAGCTCTTGGCCAATTATTCCCTTATCCCCTTTGCTAGCTTTTATATTTTTATGGGGTTTTTTTTAATATGATTTTAGAACACCTGTCAGTTCTGGTGCTCACCAGAGAGTGAAGATTTGTTCTTTCTCTCCTCCTGTTATGTGACTTATCACATGGCCAGAGAGAGAAAAAGAAAGGGAAGTATCACTTCATATCCTGCTAGGCACCTGTTTCAACAGGAGGCCATAAACGGAAGTGGAGGTCCATGGATCCCTAATGTATAATGCCAACACAGCCTCCTACAAATGCTTTCCCCCCATGCAAGGCTTTTCCCCACAGCACACTAGCATTACTCTCCATAGCACCCCTCTTCTCCTCCCATCCTTCTACAGCTCCCTAAACTAATCTAACAAAGAAGACCCCCCACCCCCCCCCCAACCCAGTGAATTCTCTCACTTTTCTCTGTGATGGAAATCTCACATATTTTTATATCCTTGCTGCAGAAATCTGCTGTGGTGCTAGCGATACCTGAATTGTAACTGTTCATATACTGTACATAAATTAAGCTGTCATGCTACAAGGGAGACTCCACAAATATAGTTCCTTTCTAGTCTATTGGGAGTTACTGCACAGAAGCAGTCAATGCCAGAGGAGATTTCTACACCAAAGGTGTAAGCAAAGCAGGAAGCCATCACCATCACACCAGCATCACAGTATGCACTGTGGTGGGGTCTAGATTAGATTCGCATGGGGGTTAGAAAAAGTGGGCTGGGGCTTTTTTGTGCAGTTGTACTTTTTATTATTAATGAAGAATATTGTCTGGATTTCATATGACTTATAATGTATTTCATTTTTTTCTTCCATGGTTGTTTGTACCATGTACACTGCCTAGTTGTTTCAAAACCTGTTGAAATTGTAACTATGATGTGTAAAATAGCCTATTCTCCATTGCATATACAGCTGCTTTCTTCCATCATTTAGACCAGTGATGGAAGAAAAAAGACCAAGTGGTCCCTACAGTCTGCCACATTTTTTAATTTATATATTTTTTTTGTCTGAGTATAGATCTAGATATACTGTATGTTTGTCCCCAGCATGTTTGAATCCACCTACTGTTGACTGACTCACTACCAATGTTTGAAGTCTATTCCATCAACTATTCTTTCAGTAAAATAACACCTTCTAGGCTGGTTTTGAACTGCTGGTTTGAGGTCATTTCCCTGTTTTCTTGATTCTTGGTTTCATATTGAAAATATTGCCCTTCTGAACCTTATTCACCCCTTGGATGTATTGAAATGATGTAACCATGTCTCCCCTTTCCCTTCATTCCTCCAGACTGTACATATTAAGTAACTGAAGTATATCTACTGATATGTTTTATCCCTCCAATGTTTTGCAGCAATGTCCCACCCTATCAGGGGTGGACTGACAACTCATGGGGCCCCCGGGCAATAGGGGATCATGGGGCACCTATGTCCTTGCCCACACTCAAACCACACCCAAAAAAGCCTATTAAAGGTACCAGGGGCATCTCATGGGGCCCCCTACTGACCCCGGGCCCTCAGACAGTGCCCCAGTTCCCAAATGGTCAGTCCGCCCCTGCACCCTATCTAACATTCCTCAATTATAAAAGAAAAAAAAAAATCACAAAAAATGTTCTTCCCTGGCCCAGTAATTCAGTGTTGTGTAATATTTGTTAGTCAGACTCTTATTTTATAGTACATCATTTTTTATGACAATAGTTAAGTAACAGTGCTTATAAAATTTGAGCATTGATGTAATGCCTCAAGCTATAGTATTTAAGAAATATTCACACTAAAATTAAAAGTTTAATCTATAGTTCCCAAACTAAAATTACACACTATAATTTTTGCTTTTTAGTGTGGAAATGTTGTATGATGTTGAGAGTTTGTGCATGTTATATACTATTCCATTCTGTCTGTTTTTGATGTCCTTTTATTTCACCTAAATGAATTCATCACCATGTCTTCGGCTTTCAGTATTATTGTTGTGAATGAGTTGGTTAATACCTTGCAGATGAAACACCAGATGCTTGTGCTGTTCAGAATACTAATGCATATTAATGTAGAAAATATTTTATTTTCTGTTACTTTATAAGCTTATCAATCTTTGTGCAGGATGATACTGAACATTTGAATCAGGAAAAAAAAATAAAATTCATTTGTATTCTTTCAATGAACTCATTGAATATTGCAGTATATTTAGCATACTCAACCAAACAATATCACCTTTTCATTTAACATTATATATAGAAACAAGACATTTCACTTTTTTTCATAAAATATAAAAAGGAAAATAAAAAAAAATGCACATGCTCCCTAAATTGCATGAAACCAGATATTTAGTTACATAAATATTATAACTAAATATCACAGAGTGCTTATTTTTTCACTATTATGTAGCCCACACTTATTTAGCTCTGCCTTAAATAAGAAAATATAAAAACATAGAACCTAAAACGACAAAGCAAAAACACAGTCCTGGGTGACCAACAATACTGTATATAATTATGTTCAGTAAGTAGGTCAGTGAGGTCTCATTTTGATAAGAGTGAATTGTGGAATTGTGAGAAGATTGATTAGTGACAGTAGGACCAGAGAGTTGGTGAAGCCTTTCTGAAAAGCAAAAAGAAGACAGAAGGGTAGACATTTCTGATTTACTGTAGGTAGGGTGGAATCCATAAAAGCTTGCCATCTAGAGGTGAAGTGCTTAACAGAAATGGATGGAATAGTTTTTCCTGCTATAAAACAATTTTCAGCTTGTTTTTAACATATGAGTTGGTTGGCCCTGTAAAAGATGTCCGTCTTTTGAATATGGCCCTGCAGGTTACTAATAAGCAAATTTAAGTCCAGTGTGAAACAGTGAGGAAGTCTCTCAGGTTGTGTTGAGGTAGGCTGTCCTGCTAATGAGCCATAACTAAATAGTATTTAGAGAGGCTTTTTAGAAATACAATACTGGGTGACTCCATAGATGAAACCAGCCATCTGATCTCAGCAGTTGGAGGTGTGGGGGCTAAGCCACTGAGCATTGTTTCAGTGAGTGTGCCATCTGGAAAGTCTTTGCTGCAATTAGATACTGAGGAAAGTGAGAGAGACTTCATGAAGCTTAAGGCTGATAGATATTTGAGATAGAGTAGGCTACGTTCTGAAGCACATGGTCTATCAGGGATAGCTGGAACCTCTTGCCTTTATTCGGACAGCAGGATTTTACATACACATTGCAACTAGTAGAAAAAGTGGTGATCGGGCAAATCAAAACTGGTGGAAAGTTCTTTAAAAAGGTTTCAGGTTGCCAGAGTCTGGCTCAAACATTGAGAATATTTGTGACAGGCCCCTGCATTTTTCGACTGCAAAGGCCTCATGATGCATGCCTTGGGGAAGCATAGGGTTACCATAAATAGGTAAGTAGCTGGCTATGAACAAGGATAGTCCTGACTTGTCCTTTTTGCAGGTAAAAAAATGTGCATTTACAATATTTTTTGGATCATGTAAAGCATTGCACCAGCGATCAGCAAATCACTGGTGCCATGCAGGTCTCCTGCAGACTGTTAGTGTAATTTGCTCATACCTCATATGGGAAGACAGTTTTACACTGACAGAAAGACTCAACAGTGCTGTGGTAGTTCATTGAGAACTACAAGCCGACATTCACAAAGGATTTCAGGACTTGTAGTTTATTCATTCACAGAACTCTGTGACTGAATGATGAGGCCATGTGGGCAAAGGCCTGTACTGCCTAGCTGTTTTCAATAAGTGACAGCTAGTATGGGGAACTTTTTCACATACTGCAGTCACAGGAACAGAGGACAGCAGCTGCAGAAGTGGGAACAAGTTACATGTTCCACCCTAAAAAAGGGTGGAACATGTAACATGTTTCCACAGGTGAACTTATCCTTTAAATTTGCTGTGCTATTCTGACTGTAATGACAAGTGAGGTTAATAAGACATGTGGGACACCGCCCAGACCTATGCCCAGTAGACAAGTCAGATTATATACTCTGATATTAGCAAGGTCCCCCCATTCTCTTTTGGGGAGATATAACTTTGACAAAGCAATACGTGGTCTTTTGTTTCACTGCAAAAATCAGGAAATCACTTTGTTTATTGTTTGGATATACAGTATTTATGCTTCAGTACAGGGGCGGACTGACCATTCGAGCACTTGGGCACTGCCAGAGGGCCCGGGGTCAGTAGGGGGCCTCATGAGATGCCCCTGGTACCTTTCATTGGCTGTTTCATAGGTTTTTTTGGGTGTGGGCGAGCACACGGGCCCCATGATCACCTATTGCCCGGGGGCCCCATGAGTTGTCAGTCCGCCCCTGCTTCAGCAACAACGGAATAGTCTAAAGAGGATCCCAGAAGAAAGATAGGAAGATCCATCTAAACCTCCAATTTACCCAAAATGTTCCAAATTAGAGAAGGATAGTTTAGAGAATATATAGAAGATGGCAGTTTTTCTATTTTGATACTTAAATATGTGATATTGTTTCTGGTCACAGGGAAGGGGGGAGACTGATGACCATTGAGAGGATTTAGAGACTCTTAGAGGGAATACCTTACTTCTGTCAAAAAGCTAAACAATTTTTTTCTAGGTGAATGTGGGCCATATACATGGGTGATTTTATTATTTTGGGATACTGCACATAGATGAGCAGTAGTTAAATGTCCCTGATCATCCATGGTAACAGATTTGAGCTCACAGAGGAGGTTTGTATGTATCAATATAAGGACTCTTACATCTGAATTCCTCAGAATCCATGAATGTACCCATCCCAAGTTTTTTCATGCGGTTGAAATCAGGGGCCTGGAGGTGGGTTTCCTGTAGTAGGATGATATTGAGTTTTTAAGCATTTAAGATTTATCATTCATTTTATGGTGGAGAGTAAATTTTTAACATTTCAAAAGGTGACTCTCACTGAGTAAAGGAATTGAGAAACTATAATTGAAAATATAATTGTAAAGTGGTGGTTGTCAAGCAGGACTTTGCTCTGAGTGACCAAAAGTGCTTACATAGGTATGTGGTCTAGCCAGGTAGAGGTGGTCTAAGGGAAAGAGTAGAAGTGACTTAATAAACTACACCCTGTTCCAAAATATTATGCAAATTCTATTTAAGTATCACAAAGATGAAATATTTTGTTTTTTCAGTTTAACTCATGGATGGCATTGTGTGTCAGGGCTCTTTTGATCACTGAAAACAATCTTGGACACCTGTGATAATTAGATTGGCAGGTGAGCCCAATTTAAGGAAAAACTGCTAAAGGAGGGTGTTCCACATTATTAAGCAGAGCACCATTTTAAAGCAATATGGGGAAGAAAAAGGATCTCTCTGCTGCTGAAAAGAGTGAAATAGTTCAATGCCTTGGACGAGGTATGAAAAAATTTGATATTTCACGAAAACTTAAGCGTGATCATCGCACTATTAAGAGATTTGTGGCTGATTCAGAGCACAGACGGGTTGGTGCAGATAAAGGCACATTGAGGAAGATTTCTGCCAGATCCATGCATCGGAACAAGAGAGCAGCTGCTAAAATACCATTATATAGCAGCAAACAGATATTTGAAGCTGCTGGTGCCTCTGGAGTCCCACGGACATCAAGGTGTAGAGTCCTCCAGAGTCTTGCAACTGTGCATGAACCTTCTATTTGGCCACCACTAACCAATGCTCACAAGCAGAAACAGCTGCATTGGGCAGAAAAATACATGATGACTAATTTTCAAACAGTCCTGTTCACTGATGAGTGCCGTGCAACCCTGGATGGTCCAGATGGATGGAGTAGTGGATGGGTGGTGGACGGCCACCCTATTCTAACAAGGCTGCAACATCGGCAAGGCGGTGGTGGAGTCATGTTTTTGGCCGGAATCATGGGAAAAGAGCTGGTCCCCGAAGGTGTAAAGATGACCTCTGCAAAGTATGTGGAGTTTATGACTGACCACTTTCTTCCCTGGTACAGAAGGAAGAACTATGATTTCCGTAATAAAATCATCTTCATGCATGACAATGCACCATCTCATCCTGCAAAGAATACCTCTACATCAATGGCTGCTATGGGGATAAAAGGAGAGAAAGTCATGGTGTGGCCTCCATCCTCCCCTGACCTCAATCCTATTGAGAACCTTTGGAGCATCCTCAAGCAAAAGATCTATGAGGGCGGGAGGCAGTTTACATCCAAACAGCAGCTCTGGGAGGCTATTCTGACATCTTGCAAACAAATTCAAGCAGAAACTGTCCAAAAACTCACAAGTTCAATGGATGCAAGACTTGTGAAGCTGCTATGAAATAAGGGGGTCCTATGTTAAAATGTAATGTGACCTGTAAAATGTTTAAAAAGTTAAAATGTTGTTAAAAGTTTGATTGAAATAGCTTTTGATTTCAGTAAATATGCTACAAACACAACAAATGACAATTTTCAGTTTTTACAACCTATAAAGTGTTTTGAAACTTACTGTGCGTAATAATTTGGAACAGTGCATTGGAAGTTTTTTATGTTTAACAAAAATACTGTTATCATTAGGAGGTTTGTTCAATAAAATGTGAATTGTACTCTTAATAGTTGATAACATGAGAATTATGCTGACTTTTATTTACATCAATTATTTAGGTAAATGAGAAAAATATCATTTGCATAATAATTTGGAACAGGGTGTAGAAAAGAAACCATATCGTAACACTAATAATAACAAAGATTGACTTGTCTTTTTCCACATGGAACCACAAGACAGGTACAAACCCCACAAGCTTATATGGAGAAACTATAAACAACAGCCACCCTGGAAGTGAAATGCTTCCTGAGGGAACTGCAAAGTAAAAAGAGAAAAAGTTTACCCCACCAGTAAGATTATAGTGGTTCAGGAGAGATGCAGGAGATTCCTGAGTAAAAGAGTGGATAAAGTAGCAAAATATCATCAAAGCTATAGAATGGCAGGATAACACAATAAACAAACAGTGCAATGCTTATCAAAGGTCTGAGAAGACTATATTGGGAAGAGCATGTTGAGGGTGTACAGACTGTCACATGGTCAGTAGGGATTAGGGCGACCGTTGAGGGAGGAGATCCTGGAACGTTTTAGAGGGTCCTTCCTGTGGCTGTGTTGATCCAAAGGACAGAGGGAGCTTGGTTCACGTGAGGTAGGATTACCTAGGGCCTTGGAGTTAATTGATTGTAGAAAAGGGTAGCTCTCCATTCAGTGAGGGCAGATGATGTAAAATATTTGGGTATGCTAGGGTGAATTTAACTTGCTGGGTTTTTTTTTTCAGAGTTAGATTAGATTCTCCCTGTCCTCCCTGAATAAAGTAGAGCAGGTATTCTGGAAGGCTTTGAATCTTTGTGACACCTCCAATGAATAGTCAGCGAGTAGGAGTTTGTTGTCATCAATTGTCTGTGATTCAATGTGAAAAAAGCAATTAAAAATGGCTGATTTTGGTATAGTTCAGGTACTTTACGATCACAGAGCAGGGTTCTTCCCATTCATTCGAGTAGGCAGGGAAACGGTGAGCCTGTTCCACCACACAAGGGGAGGTTGGTCCCAAACCTTTTGGGATATGTGTGGCATAGAAGTCTATAATGGAGTTCACCTTATACTATTCAGGAAGGCCAATTACCTGCAGCTTACAATGCCCAAATGGTTTTCCAGGTCTTCTATTTTCCCAGCAGAAATTGGTGGGTCTTAGTATGTTGTTTAACTGTGGCCTTGACTCAGTATACGTTTTCTTCGAGTGTAGAGACCCTGAGTTCTGCCTTATTTATCCACTGGGAATGTTCTCCTATCTCCCTCTTAAGATGGATAAGTTTTAAACTTTTCACTGCCAAAGACATTTTTAATTCACATTTTAGGCCTGCGGATTAGTTAAAATCCCCCAAACTTTATATATTTTCTGAAAGCAGAAACACTTGATCAGCTTCTTCCCTGGCCACTGACAACACTGAAATTGTACAGTAAGTAATGAGAAGCTTGTTGCTTTCTGGCTTTATTCAGTGTAAGGGACAATTAGTGAATGAATGTTCACTGATTGTCCTCTGCTCTCCCTGCTGTCATACACCCAGCCAGAAGGGACAGCCAAGCATGGGATACATAACAGGGAGATCAAGCATGGGGATAGCACAGGGATAGCATGGGGATAGCATGGGGATAGCACCCCAGCAGACTGTGAAATATGTTGAGCTGATTTAAAGCTGTCCAAATCTCTTCTTTTTAAAAACTGTCTTCCCACAGAAGGAATGTAAACAGACTTTTGGTTGCTATAGCAGCCAGGAGTTTGTTTACAGGTCAGTACAGTCATGGAAAAAGTATTTATGCCAGGGGCAGAAAAAACGGCTAAAGCAATAGATATACTGTAAACATTGGGATTAGGTTACCAATTTTACTTTAAATACTTAATTAGGTTCAAAGTTAAGCAATAGAATTGGGTTAAATGGTACAGGTTTTTTTTCAGAGTTAGATTAAAGGTTAATTTTAGGTGTTGGGTGAAGGTTAAGCATTAATATTAGGGATTAGGTCATAGTTAGGGTGTGATAGGTCAACTTTTATTTTGATGTCGAGGGTTAGGGATGGAAAACAGTTATGGGGGCATTGGTGCATATGCAAAGTATATATAGAAGTTTGTACATTTTCATCACCAGAAGGTGAGTATAAGCTGTTTGGAAGTGAGCTTTAAATAGGCTCTGTCACTGAATTAACAAAGTGACAGAGTCTCTTCCTGGAATGAGTTTTAACAGCTTTTATGTCACCCTATAGCAGAAATACTGCTACAGGACGGCACGGCTGCGCAAAATCACGTATACATACGTGATTTTGCATTTCCAGGTAGGGGGAATGCCATCCCCATTCACACTGCCAGTGCATTGTGGGGCATGGCAGATGAACATCCATTGCCGTTCGTGTATTCGCTGAACACACAAATAGCCAATGTTTGAGTCGAACTTACATTCTATCTTAAATTCAGGGTCACCCCGAGGATAAAAGAGTGTATTGTCGTTGAAATGCATAAAACACATTATACTCTCATATCTATGCCTGGCCATGGCAGCAGAGAACACGGTCATATGATGAATCGGGTCTGTGGACTAATACAACCGCAATTCATTTCTTTTAGTAATGCCCATGTTGAGGGTTAGGCCCAAAAAAAAATGTAAATTCAAAAACCGTAATGAGTTTCCATGTGACTGGTCTAGCAAGGTTTGAATTTGGGTTGGCGGGCAATAAATTGTTGTGCATATAACTTGCTTTGATCCACAATCAACGCATACAGATATTCCGTGAAAAACAGCTCAAAAAAGCAAGGGGAGGAATTAAATTTGCTATTTTCACCTGAATTCCGGGTTGGGCAGTGAATGGGGGAAGTACGGGTGCTGCAGAATTTGTGG